CCTTCACTTGGTCAGATATCTCAAAGGTTGTCCTTCACTAGGCTTGTTCTATGCAGCTCAACCATCTTTAAATCTGGAGGCATTATGTGATGCAGATTGGGGGAGCTGCACTTTGACAAGGAGATCTTTGACAGGTTATTGTATTTTCCTTGGTCAGGCCTTGGTATCTTGGAAGACAAAAAAGCAGAAGACGGTTTCTAGATCCTCGGCTGAGGCAGAGTATCGTTCTATGGCCACAACAGCTTGTGAACTTAAATGGATCTCTTATTTGGCTACAGACTTTGACCTACAACTCTCTATACCCATTCCTTTGTGGTGTGATAACAATACGGCTTTGCATATCACAGCTAATCCGGTGTTTCATGAACGTACCAAACACTTGGATATTGATTGTCATGTGGTGCGAGACATGTTCAAAGCTGGTTTCATTGCCCCTTCACACATTACTTCTTCTTCCCAACCTGCAGACCTATTTACTAAATCACTTGAAGGCCGTGATTTCCATTCTTTTCTGCGCAAGTTGGGAATGCGAGCTTACTCACCCATTCCCACTTGAGGGGGGGAGGGGGGGAGAGGGGTGTTGAGTTGAGCATCTTCTCCTTCTCTGTCAACCGTGGACTGCATGAAGACTGCATGGGAGCTTTATCATTTGATGTGTTTCTGTCTTCATTTTTTTTACTCGAGTCTTAGTCGTATTTTACTTAAAGAATCGTGGTCTATTTTGTGTGTTTTTCATTTTGCACTTTATTGTAAAAGGACTGTTTTGTCCTCATCACTTTGAACTTGAGCTGAGGGTTTTAATCCCAGCACGTTGTACTTGTTCATTTCTGAGCTAAGAAAATATTTGAAAATCCCCAAAAATTCTCTCTTTTAGATTTGCTATGGTTTGCGATCTTTCTCTACAGAGGGTCCATTAATAATGGCTTCTGGTTTATCTCTAGAGAAAAAGGTCTACTTTTTTTTTCACCACTCTTTAATTCTTGGAATAATAATAATGTCTCTTTTCTTTTGTGTTACTTCTTTTGGCCCATATTGTTAACTAGTTCGTGCGATGCACAAGACATAAGTATTAAATGAGTCATTTTTACAGAACATATCCGTTAAGTAGCTCGTGTGATTCAGCACGGGACAGAAGGATTATATGAGTCATTTTCACATAACATATCCGTTAAGTAGGTCGTGCGATTCACAGAAGATATTAAATGAGTGTACCACAGGGCTTATCCGTTCAGGCCTAAAAAATAATAGAGTTTGATCATCTATCTTTTTATATCATTTCATCAACGTCATATTTTTTGTCGGATCATTAAACTTGAGTTTGGTAGCGCTACCCCTTAAATTAATTAATATAATATCGCGCTCACATGTTTATAATAATAGAAATTTGATTTCATTATATATATAGATTGAAAAACCTTTGGAGGTATTGATAATTAATCAATACCAATATTTATTTTCGCATCATTTGTTGACATAATGCATTCTATAAATTATGTAAAATGTAAAAACTATTGATTTCAAAATTGATTAGATGTGTATGTATTAGGCTATTTTTATTGGTGATTCAAGTCATTGAGTTAACGGGCAAATGAACAAGAATAAAACAAAATAAAATAAGGTTACGATTGGACAAGTGTATTTCTTAAATAATATAAAGGAGATTTTATATTTTTAGAAGTTTATATGTATTAAAAATCAAAAAATATGTCAAAATTCATATATTTTTTTTATTTTCTATAATAGATGCCACATTTGATATATTTGGAACACGATTGTAACTTTTCTATTTAGTAATGATAATTGATGTGTGATTTTATTTGAAGTGTTAGTAATTTTTTTAATTAATTTTAATATTTTATATTAACATTTTGTAATTTTATTTTTTAACTAAGTTCGTAACTTTCTTATGGTATGATAAAGTATTAATTTTATTGAAATCATTACGAATTTAACTATAAATTTCTTGATTAATTTATCATAACTAAAACAATAATACAAATTAATTTCAGATAATACTTAATAAATAAACAAATAAAAATAAAATAAATATTTTAGGTTGTGTTGGGTTGGGGAAAAAGATAAGTTAGGTTATAAAATTGAATTGTGTAGATGAAAGAGAGAGAAATAATTTTTAATTGTTAGGTTGAGTTGAGTTGAGTCGTGGATAAATTTAGTCTTATGATCCAACTTTCAATTTCGTTCGGCAACAAATTAATGCATCGACTTCGAGCATATGCAATATCAACCTACTAAGAGAACTTATTGTGATACTTTGAAAGGGATATCTATATTTTATTCATATATGACAAATATATTTTCCCATCGCTCTATAATTAACAATTTAAACTATAACTGATGAGAAGAAGTGTTGGGGTAAACTTTATTCTTATACAAAATAAATAAAATCTAATTTATCAAATTCACGATCGGCCGTCAATAGGTGTTGACATACTCATGATCATAAATAAAATATAATCAAACTTTGCCTATTCCAATTTTATTTTTATTCTAGTTCTACTGGTATATGTAAATGATATTATAGCAACAAGTAACAACTCAATTGCTATTACTGCTATAAAACATCATCTTGATACCTGTTTTATAAGAAACAGATTTCGATACTGTCAAATATATTCTTGGATTAGAAATTGCTCAATCTAAAAAGGTATTCACTTATTATGTCAACAATAATTTGTTTTGGATATTTTAAAAGACACTGATTACCTAGCTTGTAAACCCGCTTCAACTCTTACGGACACTAATTTGAAGCTAACTGCATAATGTAATTCAATTTCTGTAGATACATCTATTTATAGAATATTGGTAGGTCTACTACTTTACTTAACCACAAAAAGACCTGATTTTACTCATAGTGTTCAATTATTAAGTCAATATGTTTCTTGTCCAACACAACAACACATGACTATTACCAACAGAGTATTAAGGTATACAGAAGACACCATAGGACAAGGTATTCTCTATCCTAGAAACTCTGTGATAAGTCCAATGTGATAGTGATTGAGTCGGTTGTCTTGATACAAGAAGAGGTATAACCGGTTTACTTTATTCCTTGTAGATTCTCTTATATCATGGAAATCAAAAAAGCAATCCATTGTCAGTAGGTTTTCTGCTGAAGAAAAATATAGAGCATTGACTCTCACTACTGTTGACGAGCGTTTTCGGTCAACGGTTAAAATGATAAATGTTGAAAGCAAAAGACTGGAAACGAAAGGAAGATTTGGTTTAATTACGGTTTTATTAGGCGATCAGGGAACCGGCCTCTCGTACGAAGTCGGCACTTGTGATATACTTACAGTTCTTACAAGGAGTTTCTTATAGCTTAGAGAGAGAAAGTAGAGAGATAGCAGTTAGTTGAGATTCAACAACCCAAAATAAATGAAGTGAGCTACTATTTATAGTAGTCTTTAATGTGGTACTGTTCAGCTACTGTTCACCGGTCTTGTCGCACAGTGGCCTTGCAGAGCAGTTCGGCGTCTCTCTGACATCTATTTAATGCGATTTGAAGTTTCTTCAATCATTACTTGTCAGGCATTAAATGCCTGGGGGACATTTAATGCTGGTAGGCTTTATTGACTAGGCTTGCTGGTAGGACGCTAGGCTATGATAACTTGTCTCATCATCCAATGATGGTCTTCCAAGTGGGAATATTTTAATGCTCATCGAGCCCCGCCCTTTCCCTCTGGTCGGCCACCCCGGATCTTCAGGTCGGCACCTTACTCGAACGTGTTCGCGAGACGGCC